TTGTGAGAATTCCTAAAACTTGGCCAAAATTTCCAAAACAAAGTAAAATATCAAAAATAATACTAGAGTTTAAAAGGAGGTCACTGTATTAGAAACCAATAAAATTTGTAAGACCATAGGGAATTGTATATATACAGACGTTAGAAAATCTAAAAGTGAATAAATAGACACATATGTCATATCAAAATTCAATCAAGAAATTTGAACAACTTAAACAAATCTACAAGTAGCAATGGAACTGAAGCAAGTATAGGAATTCTCACAAATAAAAAGAGCCCAGTACAAGATGGATTTACTGCCAAATGCAACCAGACCTTTTAAGAAGCAATGAAAATGTTATCCGAATGTTTCTTTAAGTAGAAAGAGAGATGCACACAAACAGGCAGCCTGTGGACCAATTAAACTTCTACACTTAGATATAAAAATCCTTCATTAAATACATGCAAATTGAATTAACACATTAATAGGAGTCTTAAGCATACTCAATATGGTTTTGTTACCTGGATGTAAAAAAAATTCACCATACAAAAATAAATAAATATAGTAAAGCACATAAATATACTCAGGGACAAAATATTCTAATGATAGGTGCATATAAAGAGTCTTTGAAAAAATAAGCCATCCTTTCATAATAAAAGCTTAGAAGAAAATATAAAGTCAAGGAACATACCTTCACATGATAAATGCTAAATACAACAAACTGTTTGACATTACACTAAATGGAGAACATAAACACCATTTTTCTCTAAAATAAGTTGTGAGAAAAATGTGTCCATTCTCTCCCTTATTATTTAATAAAGTGCTTGAAGTTTTTGATAAAGAAAAGGTAAAAGAATGAAAAAGGAATTCAAAGAGGAAAGGAAAAAGCCAAAATTATGTCTATTTACAAGTGACATGATCCTATACTTAAAAGACAGGAAATACATCAGAAAACCCATAGATGTGACAGACAACTTCAACAAATTAGTAGGGCACAAAACAAATATATAAAAATCATTAACTTCTCTTTGTGATAATAATTAAAATGCTAAGAAGGAAATCAGGAAAACACTCATTCACAGTAGTCTCATAAATACTTAGAAATAAAACCAACAAAAAGATGGCTTATGTTGCTTTTCTATTACCACTTCACTTTTGGAAACTAATGAATGTGGTATAAAAAAGCATAAATTAATGCTTTGGAGACTTTTAATACCCTTAAATTTTGTATCTTTGGTGTAATTTTGTATCTTCCTTCTTTGCATAAGGAAGAGCTGTATGTAGAAAACTGGTGATGGCTTCGTTACACAACAGAATGCTGTGCACACAGAAGGCCACAACTGGTTACTTCACTTTTGGAAACTAATGAATGTGGTATAAAAAAGCATAAATTAATGCTTTGGAGACTTTTAATACCCTTAAATTTTGTATCTTTGGTGTAATTTTGTATCTTCCTTCTTTGCATAAGGAAGAGCTGTATGTAGAAAACTGGTGATGGCTTCGTTACACAACAGAATGCTGTGCACACAGAAGGCCACAACTGGTTAAGTTTTAGAGACTAAGAGACTGCAGAGTGTGAGTCCATGGATAAGACTCCTATATTAAATCTCACCTCCCCCATGGCTCCAGGACCATTTTGGAAGAGTGGGCAGAACGATTGTAAAAGCCAGGGTTGGTCCATCGACATAGGAAAACAGAGACTTTCAGATCACTGAAAGCTTGTTCATTTGAACCTGTGGCAATGATTGACTTTAGCACATAACCCATGACAATTCAATTAGATAAGGTCCCTAAGTGTAGGGAAGGAAATGGGCAACTAGCCGGCTAACCTGGGAGCTTTTAGGGACTGATTACTGTGGGATGACAGGAGAGTAGACCTTCCTTAAGATTTCTAGATAGGCTGACTAGACTCCAGTGGATGAACTTGCTTCAAAGGACATCTGGGTAAAAATGCTTGACTTTAGAGGACTTAACATGTGTGGTGGAGTGCATCAGGCCCTTGGGGGTGTAGAGGGTCAAAAATAGGGGAGGAGGTCTAGTTTGATTAAGAGCTGTTGTATGACATGTACAAAATCTCAATAAAAATATTTAAAATATATTCTCCCAGCTTCCCTCCTATCCTGGGTACAGGCTCATTTCTTGTCTTGGAACCACAAACTCCTGGGCTTACATCTAGGACCAGAATCCCCACTGTTTCAAGATCCTTTGCAACCAGACCAACGCAATCCCTCCCTGAAGTCCCCAGGAGCCCTCTGGGCCTCATCCCACCCTCATCTCCCTTTGCTTCCCTGGGCTGTACAGCCTCTGGCATCCTGGTGCAAGCACCTTTCCTGGGTAAGTCCAGGAGCGCCAACTGCACCTTGTCTCCCCCAGACTCATTCATCCTTCCAGCTCCCCTGCCCCTGTCTCTCCTCCTAGCCTGGATTCTGGCCCCCTGGACTGACCTCTTGGCCCAGAATCCCCACTGCTTCCTGATCCTTTCCATCCAGACCAACACAGCTCCACCATGCAGTCCCTAGGAGCGCTCTGAGTCCAGTCCTACTTCCACATACCTGTGTTTCCCTGGGCAGCTCAGCCACCAGCTTCCTGGTGCGAGCATCCTTCCAGGGCCCTGCTCCCAGGCCAGCCCAGCCCTCAAATTCCTGAGGGCAGTATCTTTCATGGAGTGATCCAGACTTTAGGAGAAAGCCTGAAAGCATCTAATCCTCATCTGACTTGGGCCACTGTGCGAACTTCTAGAAGACAAAAACAATTTGGCCCCTCCAATATGAAGTTAAAAGAGAGAACCTGAAGCCTAGACCAACCAGCTTTTCATGCCCAACAAGTAAACCACAAAGGCATATAAAGTTTACAAAAAGAAGCAGACCTAAACTCAACAAAGGAAGGATACAGTCCCACACAAGAATCAGAAACTACAAATGAAATTCACATGTCAAAGTCACAGAGTAAAAGTAATAACATGAAAAACGAAAATAATATAGTGCACCAAGTACCAATAGTACTCTAGAGGACTAACAATGAGAACCCTGTAGAGATAATGCAGGACATGGAACTCAGAAGAACAACTATAAACAGATTGAAAAATTCAGTGAACTTAAAGAACACACAAACAATGAAATCAAAGAACTAAAGGAAGACAGGGATAAACTTCTGATTGAACTCAGAAAAGAGAAATGTTGAACAATGATCAGGCTGAAATGAAGAAAGAAGTGAAACATTCAGTAAGCCAATTAGAAATGACAGGAGAAAGCCTCACCAATAGGATGAAAGGCATGGCAAACAGAATATTAACACTGGAAGATAAAGTGGTCAAACTAGACCACTCAAGAAAAGGTTATGAAAAATTTAAGAAAACACAAGAGTGGAATATGCAACAATTGTTTGACACCATAAAGAGATCAAACTTATGAACCATAGGCATACAGGAAGGAGAAGAATCTCAAGATAATGGTATGGGCAAGATCTTTAACAAGATTGTATAAGAAAATTTCCCAAAATTAAAGATAGACATGCCCATACAATTACAAGAAGCACATAGAACACTAAATAGACAGGCCCCAAGAAGAAACACTCCACGGCACATCATAGTAAAAATACTAAATGTATGGAAAACAATATGAAAAGCTCCAAATGAAAAATAACATGTCACATATAAAGGAAAACCCATCAGGATTACAGCTGACTTTTCAGTGCCAACTATGAAAGCCAGAAGACCTTGGACCAAAGTATTCCCAGTTCTAAATGACCACAGATGCCAACCCAGATTACTTTAGCCAGCCAAAATGTCTATTATAGTCAAAGGGGAAAGAAAAATCTTCCATGACATAAATAGGCTGAAAGAACACATGTCCACAAAACCAGCCCTTCAGAGAGTTCTTAAAGCAATACAAAGAGCTGAAGAAAGGAATGAATGTACCCAAGGGCTTATGGAAAGAAATTCCATGAAGGTATAACTGTGGATATGCACAGCTATGCCAGGAGTGTGAACAGAAATAAAAATGATAGGATTCAATACACATTTTTCATTAATATCTTTAAATATCGATGAACTGAACTCCCTAGTAAAAAGACACAGACTAATTGAATAAATTAAGAAACAAAACCTGTCTTTCTGTTGTCTGTAAAATTCTCATCTCACTTTCAAGTACAGGTACTACCTTAAGGTGAAAGGATGGAAAGTATATACGAAGTGAATGGTACTAAGAAAGAAAAGAGGAGTTGTAGTTCTAATATTTGATATAATAGACTTTAAACTAAACTTTAAAACTAATCAGAAGAGATAAAGAGGGCCACTTCATTCTGATCCAAGGAACAATAAACCAAGAAAATATTACAATCATGAACATATATTCAACAAACTGATTCACCCAACTTCATAAAAAGAGTGCTACAGGACTTTAAGAACCAGATTAATCCCGACTCATTAATAGTACAGGACCTCAACACCCCATTGTGTCCATTAGATAGGTCAACAGGACAAAGAATTAACAGAGAGAAATCTGAATTAAACAGTACCATATATCAAATGGACTTAATAGACATCTACTGAATATTCCACCCAAGCACCAAAGAATATACTTTCTATTCAGCACCCCATGGAAACTTTTTCCAAAATCGAACATATGCTAGGGCACAAAACAAACCTCAACAAATACAAAAACACTGAAATAATTCCATTCCTTCTATCAGACCACAATGCAACAAAGATTAAAATTAACACTGGAAGAAACCCTAGAAACCCCATGAAGACTTGGAGATTAAACAACACACTCCTGAATGATGAATGAATGGATCAAAGGAGAAATTAAGAATGAGATAAAAGCATTCCTGGAACTAAGTGAAAAGGATGATAAAACACAACAAAACCTCTCTGGCACGTTGAAAACAGTCCATAGAGGGAGGTTTATAGCTCTATAAGCCTACATTAAAAAAAATCAAAAAGAACACAAATAAATGACTTAACATTGCAACTCAAGAGACTTGGAAAGGAACAGCAAATGAATCCCAAAGCCAGCAGTCAAGAATAAATAACAAAAAGCATAGCAGAAATTAATGACATAAAACAAAGAAAACAATACAAAGAATCAATTAATCCAAGAGCTGCTTCTTTGAAAAGGAAAAGAAAATTGATAGACCTCTACCCCAGCTAACCAAAAGAAAGAAAGAACACCTCAAATCAACACAATCATAGATGAAAGCTGAAACATCACAACACACCACAAACATCCAGAACATTATCAGGGAATACTTTAAAAACGTGTATCCTACTGAATTTGAAAACCTGAAAGAAATGGACGGGGATCTAAAAGTATGGGAATCACGAAAACTAAACCAAGAAAAGATCAACAGCTTAAATAGACCCATAACACATAAGGAAATTGAAACAGTAATATAAAACCTCCCAACTAAAAAAAGCCCTGGACCAGATGGATTTACACCAGAATTTGACCAGATATTTAAAGAAGATCTACATCCAATACTACTTAATTTATTCAAAAAGATAGAAATGGAGGGAGAACTTCCAAATTCCTTCTAC